GGCTGTGCACAGGGGCACACAGCAGTTGCTTTAAAACAATCCTGTGTGACTCCAAATCAGACTCCTCGCGGGCCTCACACCACTGCACCAGGTCCTCATCTTTAAAATGAGGTGTGTGACGGGGCCCCCCCAGGGCCACGCACCACGCGGGGACGGGGACAGGAAGCCCTAGGACTTGAATTAGCAACATTAAGATTTTATCGCACTGAAATGAAGGCAGTCGGTCTGTGCTGCCGTGGAACTAAAGGTGATGCGGAAGAGGGTGGTTATTTATTGCTCCGTTAGGATAGACCCCAAAAGTGACTTTTCAGAAACCAGGGCCGTCCCCTGCAACCCCAGCCAGACTCTGGGCCGCTCTGGGTGACGCAGGCCACGGCGGCCTCCGGCTGCTTCACAGTGATCTGGCTGGTCTGTGCCTGGGAGTGCCGCCGGGGGCACGCCGACACCGTGTAGCTGAGCTCGGCGTTCATGCTGGTGTACCTCTCCTAGATGACGTCAGTGGTGGCCGTGAAGTTGACCAGGAACAGCGGACCTTCTCCAGGCTCTCCTCCTCCCTCACGTTCTGGCCCCTGGACAGCGCTTTCAGGAAGTCAGACTTGCAGGCGCGGCACACGGCGCTGCCGGGAAGATCTCCTGCGCGAGCCAGCCGTGGTGCTTGAGCGCCATCTCCGAGGCCTTGGTGGCGTTGACGCGGATGAGGTCGGGGTGGCTCTCGTCGCAGATGCTCTGCAGGAGGATCTAGGTGAAGCGGAGGCCCCTTTTCAGCCACATCGGCGCCAGCGTGGCCCCCACTTTGGGCCACTCTGCTCCATCCATTTCCTTCTCCGCCTCCAGGATGTTCTGCAGGGCCCGGAACTCAGCCGGGTTGGTGTTGTACACAGCTTTGATTTTCGTGACGTTACCACTTATGTCTGCCTTGATGGGCGTAAACACTGGGGACCCGAGGCAATCGAAGAAGGGCGGCAGGTGGGACACCGCCTCCAGGAAGGGCCTGGTCTCGATCTGCTTGTCCGAGGGCGGCGGCTTCAGCAGGTGCTCGGCCAGCAGCACCATTTCAGGGTTGAGGCCGGCAGTGATGCCATTTTCTAATCGGATCTTCCTCTTCCTTTCCCAGCACACTCCACACCTACTCCAGATGGACCACCCCAACCCCACAGACCCTTAAGACCTTCCCCTCTATTTCTTTGACTTTCCCTCATCAAACTTGCACCCTATCGTGTTGCCTAGGGCGCCCCTAACCGCTACCTGGGGGGTGGAGCCAGCCCGGCGAGGGGCCATGGTGGTTCTGGTCTAATGATCATTATGGTCATGATGGCGTTATGGCCGCTGGCTTTTTATGTATATACAGATTATTGTCTTAATTAGTAGTAGTAACCTAGGCTTGCCCACCCGTCCTAATTCACCTGTCGGTCCCGTTCACGAAGCTCCTCAAATGGCCTCCACAGCAAGCAGGACAAGTCCTCCTGTGGACGCTGGGGACCCCACACCACTGATTTCAAGGGGTCCCCGCCTCCCGGCCACATTCTCCATCCTAGTTCTCGTCCCTACATCCGGTCTTCAGCTGTCACACCATTTTTCATGTCTCCAAGCCTTTGTTCATGCTGTGCCCTCCATCACGTGCCTTTCCTGCCACCCCATAAGAGGTCTTATTTCCCGTCCTAAAGGCAGCGATTGCGGCCACTCTGTGCTGCCACGGCACTCCAGTTCCACGCGTCCCCTGATCGGCATTTGACGTGAGAACGGAGCCCACACGTGGTACTTTCTTACCACCCAACTGCTGAGACAGCGCCTGGCCCACGTGCCCCTAGACTGAAATGAGAGAGGAGCCCGCCTGTGCCTCTCGCAGGGGCTACAGTGGGAAGGGCTCATGGGACGCCTGACACAGACCAGCTGCCGACAGCACACGCTGACAGCGGACACCTACGCCCGCGGTCACGTCTGGCGTCAGGAACAAGCCGTCGCTGGCAGCCACCTCAGTGCTCCTCCCTCAGGGGCTCGCTGCCCTGCCCCTCACAAGGAAATCAAAAGCTAAAGACCCAAGGTCTCTGTTTCAACTCAGAACCAATACCTGCAAGCAAGTTTCCGGCCAAGATCAAGGCATCCTGATGGGCGGCGAGGTCCAACGGGAACCAGGCGGACGAGAGCAGGGTCAGGATCGCCGTGACCATCCCGACAGTACAGCTCTTCCTGGACTCGTCCAAGGCGCTCAGAGGGGGCACTCTGGGGGCAGATGGGTGCGCGGTCACGTTACAGAAACATTTTAAAGCAAACGGTCTTTTTAAATTTCATTGATTATTTTAGAGAGCAAGGAAGGGGGAGAGAGAGGGAAATATCAATGTGAGAGTAAAACATCCATCAGCTGCCTCCTGCACACTTCCTACCGAAGATCGAACCTGCAACCCAGGCACATGCCCTGCCACGCAACCAAACTGGCAACCTTTCAGTTCATGGGGTGATGCCCAACCAACCGAGCCACTCTGGTCAGGACTAACGCCAACGGTCCTGCTTCCCTTCTGAACCAAGAAGGCCCGTCACTGTCCCCTGCACACCAGCCCAGAAAGCGACCTTACAATTACCCGGCACCTTTCCTGTGAACCACAGCTCTGCAAACACCATCGGAGAGGTGAAAGCAGGTAGCTGAGCTGATCAAAAGCATTTTGGTAACTTTTAACTCTTTCACCTCTGAGTTAGCACCTGCACTGGCTTCTGCGCTGAGTGCAAGTGCAGAAGCCAGCTGCTGGGTCTGTGACTAGAAACTGCAGTTGCGTGAAGGTACTTGTTGCAGGAAATGGTCACTCCAGACGGGAGAGTGCCCTGCATGGGCAAAGCCCGCAGGGCGCATGCTAGACACCCCGCAGCTGCAGCACAGCATTCCTCCGCCCACTCCTGCGGCCATCGCACTCTGCGGTGGGTCACATTAGATTTTACACAAAAAATGCTCCTCCGTGCTCCATGCGTAGTGGATAATTCTAAGGAGAAGCGCAGCTAGAAGTCTCTGGCCCGGAAGGGCAAAGCGTGTATCATCCCGAACACCAAGAGCTGCAGGCCGATCCCTGGTCGGGTGCGTATGGGAGGCACCCCATCACTCCATGTTTCTCTCTCCCCCCGCTTCCTGCTCTCTCTCTAAAATCAGTAAAAACGAACCCTCAGTGAGGATAAGAAAAGGAAGTCTGTTGCCAGCACAGGGGCCCCTGTGGCTGAGCCCACATGCTGAGGGGCGAGCCTGACGCCCATCACTGGAACCAGCTCGGTGTGGCCCAGCAGCTCCCACCACCCGCCATAGACTGAACAGCACAGAACAAGCTCCTGTGGGGCGTTTCCCACAGGCCCCAGCGCTGACGGAATCACAGCAAAGACAACAGGGCCCCAAGGAGGAAGCTCGTACCGCGTACTGTGGACGCCACGGGCCGAGAAGCACTTACCCACAGTGCCAGCCTAGACTCCAAGTGCAGACCGGGAAGGCGGTTGAGAGGAGACACAGAGCTTCACAGCATCCGAACTGAAGAGGAAGGATAATGAAATCACCAACACAGAAAGCTTCCTTCAGCCCGGCCTCCTTCCGCCCACGCTTCATACATGTACAACAAGGTTCATGTCTACCGCCGGGATAGTGGGCCAGGCCGGCAGGCCCTTTGCGTAGAGCTGCAGTTGTCCTGGCTGCCCCTGCCTGCACAGCCCCCAGCCCTCC